TGTAAAATTAGACTGCATGCTTGATTTTATATATCTGTGACAATGGGTCTGATTAAGGTGTGTCCCAATACTTTTGTCCATATAGTTTATATAATTTCTTATTAATACAATTACTATTGTTGTTAAATGATTTATGTTTTCATTTTAACAAGACCACATGTCTGGTTGTGCTTGTTTCATACAAAATTAAGCTATATGATATTACTCACACACTCAACAAACCTTCAAATTTAGGTCACATTGTTATGCTTCACGTTAGAAAAATTTCAGACATAGCTTATATTCTGACTAGCAGACACTTTTTATTATAAGAAACATAAAACTATAGAATCAATTCTGATATGAGTAACTGATCAAACATCATAGCATATATCATTTCGGTCTGATCATTTTTGCATATTCAGTATCATTATCCTGATTAGTATTATTTTTAAATGTCATCCTTGTTAATACCTGATCAATAAATCAATAAAGTCATTCATGTGTTTGAAGATATGTATAGTTGTGCCTAAGGGTTGTTCTGCTCCAGCACAAAACAAGCTTTTTTCCAGTTCAAGCTTTGTACTGAACCTCCAAAGGGAGCTGACCCTATTTACTTTATTAAATTTGTTAAAGCATGTTTCTGGTCTCAATTTAAACTATTTATTGGTTTCTCCAAATAATCAAGAGTTTGTATAATTTATATATATTAATTACTTTTTCACTATTGAATATTTAGTCATGTAATTTTGATTGTCCACTTTACACATTCTATAAAAGCTATACAAGTAACTTTGCAACTACATCAACGATAACTCATTAGAATATTACACCTTATTTTTCAGACATTCTACTGATAGTTAATAGTTACTAAATAGCAAGTGCATGTCAACTTATTCTCCTATTATTCACCCTTTTGCTAATGTACAGGCCATGGCTCACTTTAATTTAAATAAAGTTAGGAAAAAAGCAAAAACGGGTTACACAATAATCTCATGACTTTACTGCATGAAAAAAATAATCTCATCTTTATCGATAGTGGGACAATATCTACTGATCGCCCACAGGTGTCCCAGTTGGAACAAGATTTGGAGAAGGAGCATACTGCCTTATCTCAGGCTCTGAGGAAAAGAGAGAGAGAGGTGGAGGAGGCCACTCAGGAGGTGCAGAAGAAGGAGAGGCAGGCCGCAGAGCTCTCCGGCTCCATAACGTGAGACCACCTGGCATTTCAGTTCCTTAATTTACCTTTTGTATTGCAGGAATATTTCTTCAGCATTCATTTTTGTGTACCACTGCAAATAGAATGCTCAGAACATGTTTATGGGTTCCTACGCAGCATGGAAAAGTATGAAATTTGATTTTAGTGTTTTCCAGGGCTGCGTTTCCCAAAAGCATTGTAAGACTCAGTTGATCATAGCTCCATTGGTTTCAATAGGTCTACGATGTACTTAAAGGGTTAGTTCACCCAAAAATGAAAATTAGGCTGCGTTTTACTCACCCCCGAGGCATCCTAGGTGTATATGACTTTCTTCTTTCAGACGAATCCAGTCGGAGTTATATTAAAAATGGTCTTTGATCGAAAGAAGAAAGTCATATACACCTAGGATGCCTCGGGGGTGAGTAAAACGCAGCCTAATTTTCATTTTTGGGTGAACTAACCCTTTAAGATTACGATGCTTTTGGGAAATGCAGCCCAGGTCTGGATAAGTATGGAAAAAAGAAAACCGAGTATGGAAATATGTTTGTATTTTCAGACTATTGCCCCATTCTATTTTCAAAAATATAAAACAGAATTTCTAAAAAATAAATGTATAATACAAGCATAGTGTTTTTTATGAAAGTGTGAAAGCATATGACTGAAGAAATTACTAGAAAATGTTTGTTGGCTTCAGTTTGCCTCAGTTATAACACTGAACTTTTTTATGAGAATTGTGCTGAGGGTGTCCCTTGAGATGATCTTATGACTGTTTAATGGCTTCAAAGCCTTTGTGTCCCTAGCCACTCCCGCTAAACTTTTTCTCTATATATACTACAACAGCAAATTATTTTAGCTGAGGAAGAAAGTGCTTCACATAGTGGCTGTTCACATAAAAGCCAGATCTAGACAACTAGGATTTTCATATCTTGATTTTCTCTCATTTCTTTTAAGGTCAGTTATATTTTACCTATAGTCACGTCCGTACAGCAACTGGACATTAATAAAAGCACTGAGGAAAAGATGGTAATGTTAAGCTGTGTGTTTTTTCAGGCAGCTGAGTTCAGAGATGAGTAAGTGTCGAGTGGAGCTGTCAGACATGGAGCTGGAGCTGTTGCGTTTGAGGAGAGACAGCAACACGAAAGCCTCTCAGCTTAATCAGATGGAGGAGACACTCAAGGAAACCAAAGGCCTGCTGGATAAGAAGAGTGAAATTGGTATGCAGCTCCAGTGACCACCAACAAAACTATAATGGGCATAAACGTCTGAGTTGTACTTAAACCTAAGCCTCTTAAAAAGTGAGAATTTAAGAATTATCAGCTGACACTCATTGGGGTTTGCAAACCTCACTTTAAGAAAAGTTTACCCAAAGGTGGGTTGAACCTCACAAAGAGATGCCCATAGTCTAGTCTAGTCTACAACTGAGGAAGATTAGATGAATCATTTTTTAATAATATTCTTATGTTTTCTTGTCTATGTGTTTCAGTTATCGACCTTGAAGAGAAGCTCCACCGCAGTGAGATGGACAGGAGGAACTCACTGCAGCGGGCGCAGTTGCTTGAGGGACAGTTGCAGGATGTGCGTGGAGAGCTTGCAGATACCCTGGACCACCTGCAGGAGCTCAGAGACTTGCTGCAGCAGACACAGTTGACGTCAGACCAACAGCAAGCAACCATCGATAAATTAGCTGCTGAGCTCAGGTGAGCTGCTCCACCGCCTTGCTCTGACTGCTGGGAAGCCACAGCAGTCCATCCATCATTGGATATGCAGAATTTCTGAGGTTTCTAACATCCTTACTCATGTTTGGCTGAGGACAGCCTAAATTGAGCACGTTGTGTTGTTGTTTATATGCCTCTGAAAGAGATTATGAGGGATCTGTAAAGGCCTCAAAACACATTTTGTGTTTTTAGAAAACCTTCAATACCATATTTTTATATGGGATGCACAAAAGGATAAATATTTCCTTGTAAATACCCGCTGATGGTTGCATCCTGGTTTTTCTTTCGTTCTTCTTGATGGACATTAATGGTGGATGTCTCAGCAGAGACCTGTGAAGTCATTCCATTTTCTTTTTATTTCCTAAACCCAATTTCCAACATTTCATACATGTTTTTTTATGTATAAATATAGTATATGCACTTTGAAAATACAAACCACATTATGCTGCTCTAATATAATACTTGTCTAAATCCATTATTTTAATTATAAATATGAGCCTTTATAACTTCTATTTTTTTTTTCTTTTAGTAATGTGTTATGTATTAGAATGTGATAATATAATTTATTGGTTTAGATTAAACTAAATTCACTATTTTTGTTTTTTTGAGTTTTTGTACAATGAGTGTCCATATATTGATCAATCTGTGTCCCAGTAGTCTACGGGATTTGTAGATTTAAACAAATTGTTATATATATATATACTTGCATTTAAAAGTTTAGGGTCAATGAGATTTTTTATTAATACTTTTATTCAGTATTAATAATGGAATACTTTTATTCAGCAATGCATTAAATCGAAAAGCGACAGTAAAAATGCATAAAATGTTACAAAAGATTTCTATTTCAAATAAATGTTGTTCTTTTGAACTTTCTATTCATCAAAATATCCTGAAAAACATGTTCAGAGTTTTCACAAAAATATTAAGCAGCATAACTTCTGAAGGGTCATGTGACACTGAAGACTGGAGTAATGGCTTCTGAAATTTCAGCTTTGTTATCACAGGAATAAATGACACTATAGGGTTATTCTAAAGTGTAACAATATTCCACATTTTCAATCAAAAGCCTCAGAGACTTCATAAGAAAAGACTTAATAGCATAAGAGACCTCCTTCAAAAACATTAAAAGTCTTTCTGACTCCCAAAATTCAGTGTCGGCTACAACTCAAGCAATCGTTCCATTCTTCAGAATGTTGTCAGTTTGATCTAATCATGGTCAAAACAAACACATTCACAACTTCACCCCACCTCAAACATATTCAGTCAGGTCACAGTAGTGCTTCATAACAGAATTTGTCATCATAAATATACATTTTGTTGAAATGCGCCACATTTACCCAACCTTCAACCTTTAAATAATCAGTTTCTCTATCATTGAATGTGTTTTACAGAGAGAGTCAGAGGGAGCTGGAGGAGAGGAACCATGAGGTGCTGGATCTGGACAGTGCTCTGAAAGAAAGACAGGGGGAGCTACAGCAGAGAGCGCAGCTGGTACCACACATAAACATGAACAAGATCTCCATTGCCTCCATGTCTCCACTCTACTAAAGCATTGTGTTCTCTCTTGAGTTGGGGCAGCTGGACGTGGCCATTAAAGAGCATAAGCTGGAGATGGAGAAGAATGTGGAGTATTTACAGGAAGCTCTGGAGAAGAGCCAGAAAGAGCTTAGAGAGAAGGACCAGCAGGTGAGTCATTGAGAGTGACCACAGATGAGTTTGTTAATGGACAAATGTACTGATGAGGTCTCGTTGCTCTCTGGGCAGATGCAGTTCTTGATGGAGAGGCTGGAGATGCTGAAGTCACAGATTCAGGTTAAGGAGGACCTGGAGAGGGTACGGCACATGTTTGAACTATAGTGAGGAGAGAGTAGAATTTTTTACCCTGTATTTACCGAGGTAAAGTGTGTAATTTCACAAATCCCGTCAAAAGCACGCCCAGGTCCATGCCCATTTTCACCCGAAAATCAAAATAAAACTCTGAACATTTCATTTTACTTTTACTTAAAAGTTTGAGGAGATTTGAGCCAGCAACCCTCTGAAATTTTTTATAATACATTACATGACAAGCAGAAGTAACAGTGTTACAACATTAAACTCTTGCTGTACAGAAATTAAGCCACACCAACAGGTTGTGTAACACTTATCTTCAAAGGACATTGTCAGAGTTATTTCTTTTTCTTATTTTATCATGGGTGCCATGTCATTCTGACAAACAATAATTTTATCAATCTTAGAGCTCAACATAATCTTGTGCAAGTATGCATGCTTGCTGAAAATTGCCAAAAAAATGACTGGGTAAGCATTTCAGTTGCATTGTTTAGTCTCAACTTATATTGTGTGTCTGTGCGTGTGTCAGGATGCTCTTGAACATGGCCAGCAGCTGCGTGTGTATCGTGAGCAGCTCCAGAAGACGGTGCAGGAGCAACAGGAAGCACATTCACACTGTGAATCTCTGAATAGACAGATAAATGAAGTCACCCAGCAAGCACTTCAGAAGGTGAAATGTCTGCAGCTTTAAACTTCGCCGTTATGCACTTATGTTCACTGCACGCTTTAGGATCTCTCAGTGAGTGTTTAAATGCACATTCTTAAAACAAGTATGCTTAAACCAATGTGTGGTCATGTAAACTCATTCAACAATTTTCTTTAGAGGAGGAATACACACTAAAAAACATTTTAAAAATATATTCTCATATCATGCAGCTAAAGGACTTCTCCTTTAGTGGTGTAGTCGTACAAATTTTGAGACATTGCTGGTCATTCAGTGTTGCCATTAAAAAAAAACAAAAAAAACAGTAATACTGATAAGAATACTAATAACAATATAAAACGCACTAAGATCTGATGAGCTGCTGGGTTAATGAACATTAATCATGTTTTTAGTGGTGCGTCAAATGCACTGCACATCGATTGAAATGAATTGGAATAAAGAATGGAATAATGCACAAGCGCTCATAGAGCTCAAGACATGTGATTTACTCACATTTTAGTGGGTTGAATGAGTCCTTATAAGTTTCCCACTGACATTTTGGAATACTCTTTTTATATGTTTTATGTAACATCTGGATAGAATACTCTGAGAGGAATACGTACTTCTGTTTTATTTACAAAAAGAAGAAAAAAAGTATTGTAAACAACACAGGTTCTTGCATTGCCTGGTTATTGGTTTGCATGTAAACAGGTAAAACGAGTTATTTTAATAAACTGAATTTAGTAGTTATCAGTGTAAGTGTTGTGGGTATGGTGTGCTCTCAGTTGGATGTGTGACTTTAGAAAAATAAGAGATTTATATTTAAAATTCCGTTATCTCACGCCTGCAATTTACACTTTGAGAACATGTATGGTGTAACATCAGTCTTTAGCTTAGTGGCACGTCAGTACATTGTTTATGAGCAGATCAATGAAAGTTACCTTTTAATGAGCTGTCTCTCAGATTCTTGAGTTTTCTCAGGGCCTGATGGTCCTTAACCTGTTTGTTGTTTTTCTGTAGGAGAAAGAAGTTCATCAGCTGCGAGAAGAGATGTCTGTGATGGAGAAGCGCTCTACACATGCAGAGGTCAGACTCCAGGCCACCATTACTACCCTGCAGCAGGAGCTTGAGCAGCAGAGAGAGGAGCACCACAAAGAGGTTTGGAGAAACAGAAAATTTGTCATGGGACAGTTGAGCTGGTTTGCTGGGTCTGACCCTCTCTCTCTGCCTCCCAGCTTTCAGCTCTCCAGCAGACGCGTGGGCAGCTGCTGAAGGTGTCGGATCAGATCTCCAGCAGCTTGCGTAATTCTCAGGAGCAGCTGAGCCAGCGGCTGCAACAGGCCCGAGACCAGCTTGAAGAGGCTAGATCTACCTCTGTTCGCCTACACGCTGAGCTTCACAGCAAAGAACAGCTCCTACAGAATGCTAATGAGACCCTGCTTATCAAGGTGCATGACTCACTGGATGGTGTCTTACAAAACCACTACATACAACAGTTCCATATTACGTTTATATTAAACATCCATACTTTCTCCAAAACTGCTTGCCCAATAGATGCTGGAGCCTATCCCAGCATTTTGGACTGATGACAAGGAAACAAACTGGCCAGTCCACCTCAGGGATTTGATTAAAGATTTTACATATAAAAACAGTTAATTTCTAGAGTTATACTGTGAGGAAAGTGCATGTACAAGCAACAGTATGGTACAATTTGGATTACAATCTAATCTATTTTTTTTTTTATTAAAAAGTGTTTTTGTTTTTCACTGTGCTTGTTTGTAGGGCTGCACATAATGGGCAAAAGTTTTGTAATTTATAATGACTAATAATAATATACAAATATTTAAAAAGATGCAATATTACTATTGTAATGTTTCTCTGTAAAATAAAATGTATTAGTATAATAGTATTTGAGAACAATTTTGTAATAAATTTTTATAATAATAATATTGAATTAATATAATTATAAATGTGATTGATAATATAATTATCAGTATCAGTATAATATAAGTATTGTTATTATTGTTGTTTTATTGTTCTTATTAAAAAGTTAAGAAAATAAGAAATGACTATTATAATATTTGTAAAAAATAAACAGTATTTATGAAAATAATTAAAAATCTTTTAATAATAATTTTATAAAAATATAATAATCATTGTCTGCTGTGATAGCCTTGTGTATAGAGCGCCAATATTTAGCACAACTGTGCTCGTGGCGACCAGAGTTCGATTCCCGTCTCGATCCCACCCCCCTCTCTTCACCCAATGCTTTCCTGTCTGCCCTTTACTGGCCTATCAAAAAAAGGAATAAAAGCTCATAAATGTGACTTAAAAAAAAAAAAAAGATATATAATAATCATTAATGCAAATACTACTATTACTACTACTTCTTTTTATTATTATTAAAATATTATCATTTAAGGACTGAGTCCAGTTCACACTTGAATCTGATATTGGCCACATTTAAAAAAATAATTTGAACAGCCAAACAAAATAATTGGATACAAGTAATAAATTCAAATTGAACATTGTCTTGAAGTGTGAACAAGGAATGGGTAGAAATTAAGGAAATATATAGTGTGGAAGAATTTACTCTCATTTTGAGACTTAAAAAGGATCTATTTTAACATATTGGGAGAAATGGACTGAGTACTGTAAAGTAAACAATAATCAGTGTCTTTCAATCTGTAAACATACATTTGCCTTAAAAGCTGACTGTATACCCTTTTTTTTTTTAAATAAATGAATAAATAAACTGTCTCACTAGGTTGTGGACCAAAGCTAATGTATCATTTTTAATAATCACTTTTTTGTGAGTTTTTCCCTCACTCCTTATACTGTGTTTTCTTAGGAGTCAGAGATCACCCGTCTTCAAGCCAAGCTCTCCAGCTTCGAAAGGGCCACAGAACTACACAACATCACACTTCGTCACAAACCCAGCACTCCTCCCCCTCTCTCTCCTCCTCTCAAAGACTCTATTCTTCATGGCTCCAAATCCTCCTCTCACAAAAACACTTCAGCACGTTCCAGCATCTCCTCCTGGCAGAACACCTTCTCTGACACCTCTGTGGAGCTTTCAGACAGTTTGAAAGCCAGTGTACAGGCTGCAATGCTGCTGCCCCCCTCCCCAGACCAGATCTGGCAGGGTCTGAGCACCCATGAGGCCACCTCCGCTACAGACATGTCCTTTAATCCACTCACATACATGCTGGACCAAGAGCAACCAGAAGAACCAGATCTAGACTCTCTATCAGGTATGCTGAGGTTTGTTAACCAGACTCTGGCCCTCCAAGAGCAACAATCCCTCTGTGACACCAGCACCCACAAAACAGGCAAGTAACATGACTGCATGTAAACACTTTTATAATATCTAGTGTACACAATGGAGTGGATTTTTAAATGTTTATTAACTTAATATCGCTCATACTTAAAAGGATAGTTCACCCTAAAATGAAAATTCTGTCATCATTTCTTTCTTTGGTGGAGCACAAAAAAGATTTTTGTCCATAAAATGAAAGTCAGTGAGGTCCAATGTTGTTTTGGACCCCAGTGACTTTCATTATATAGACAAAATAGTTGAAACATTCCTTAAAATACACCAGTTCAAAGGTATGGGGTCAGTGATATTTTTTTAATACTTTAATGCAGCAAAGATGCATTAAGTTAATCAAAAACGATAGTAAAGACATTTATAATGGTACAAAAGTTTTCTATTTCAAATAAATGCTGCTATTTTGAACTTTTTATTCATCAAAAATTTCTAAACTTATTATTACTGTTCATGGTTTTGACCAAAATATTAAGCACACAACTGTTTTCAAAATTGATAATAAGAAATGTTTCTTGAGCACCAAATCAGTATATTAGAATGATTTCTGAAGGATTATGTGACAATGAAGACTGGAGTAATGGCCACTATAGTTCTAATAAACACTTATATTAAGTTTATTAAAATAACAGGAAAAAAACTATTTTAAATGGTAATATTTCACAATATTAGAGTTTTCTATTGGTTTTATAGAATAATTGCAGCCGTAATGAGCATAAGAGGCTTCTTTCAAAAACATCAACACCAACCCTAAACTTTTGAGTGGTTGCGTATCTTGTGTCATACGTGTTTAAAACAACATGAGGATGAGTAAATTTTGAGTGAACTCATTCATTTTGCTCCTTTGATTTGGGCCTGCAAGCCACCACTTAGCCACCCTAGCAACTGCATAGCAACAAACTAAAAACACTCAAAACACAGTTTTTCTGAAAATCTAAAACTTTTAATTTTCCTGCAGGAACATAATGAGGTGGCAGCTGTACTGTGTCTGTCCTTACAGGAGAACCCATCAACTAATGATATTCCTGAAGTCTTTACCGAATAAATGCACAGAGGTCCAAAACCTGCTGATTCGTTCTTTTTGCCCTGAGCTACTAGATGATTTTTGTATGAAGCCTAAATGTTACATTTAACCTCAGTTCAGTTGTGAATCAGTTTGGTAGAGCTGTTTGAGCTTGTCCAGTAGCATGATCAAACATGTCCCAACTGAATTTGAAATGTCCTTTTCAGTGGTGGTTTTGTATTTAGGTACATATTTTAGTTTTACATTTTATGATATTAATTTATACAATTTCTTATGTGAATGATTGATTGATTGATTCTTAATAAATCTTTAGATATTCAGAAACATCTCTTTGCTTTCATGCCAAACTGTCATGCTAAACCTTTTTTTCTTTACACCAAAGTCATCTATATAGCACGTTAACAGGAAGTGTGCCATAGTTTAAATGAACTAAGTTAATATGTATCAACATGCAGCCTTTTAATAATAACTGTGTATTTGCATATGTTTACACTCATGCGTGTGTTTACACAGGCCCATTGTTTAATGATACAACAACTAGTGTGTCATATTTGCTGGGGGTGGAGATGTATTTGCTGCTCAGAGATGGGCTGACAGGTCTATTGTGTCTGTTTTTGTAACCAGCAAGCACTCCGAGAGTCCAGGTGTGTAATTTAACATAATTTTAGGAGGAAGTCGAGAGCTTTATTGCCATTGTGCGGATACAACTATATTAAATAAAGATTAAACGAAGAACTTGTAATAACAAAACCAGATCTCCTCAGAAGATGTTCCAAATGTTAAGTATATGCAAAAGCATGGTAAAAAATATAAATAAAAATGAGGACACTAGCAAAGCATCGCTTCTTCTGTTTTCTCTCATTATGCTGAAGAAGGCATTTGCATGCATACAAGAGGCTTTGGTTTGCAGTGAAGAGGATGTGGTCAAAGATTGGTGATTTATAGCACCACGCTCACGCTATGTGCACGTTCCGAGAACTCTCTTATCTGGTGGAGCAATTGCAATAACTACTAAGCCAAAGCCTGACCATCTGATGGGCTTGCAAGAAGGGCAGATAAATATATATACCAGTGTTTCAGTTCCATAGCAGTGTCTTTCTTGTGTCATCAGTGACAGTGACTTCCTCCTGTCTGCAGCCTTTTGCTCTTTGTTAATTTGACCTTTACAATGGCGAGGTCCCCAATGGCAGCTATGACAACAGTTTCCATGAGACAGTAAAGGTCTCTGGTGATTCCCTTTCTTTGTTTGACTGTTGACATTGCCACAGCCCCTTTATCTTAAATGCATACTTTTGTCACCCACCTTTTGGGGCAGATGTCCAGATTTTATAATAAATCTTTGAAAATCAAAATCTGGGTTTGAATTTTTAATGTTATTATAACCTAAAGATGCTATGTGAAAGTTTGAAACAGAAAATAGTGGTTTTCATCTTGCCACTTTCTTGGTAAAGAAAACACATTTTTACTCAAATTAATCAAAATGGATTTATAGCGTTTTGGAACCAAACTCTTCATATATATGACCACTGCATTACATCACAGCAGCAGAACCTCTTTGGCTGTGATTTGATAACTGAAACAGTTTGAACTCGTTACTCAGAGAGCCATTTACATCTGCTGCAGGAAATATGTAAACGTATACATTTGCATGGATTGTGTTTTTTTTTTGTGCTTCAAAGCCATGTCCTATATGTATAATATTTCAAATGGAGAATGACAACAAATGAAAACCCATAAGTATCAACTGCAATGGCATGGAGGCTTTTTTTATATACTAGCATAAAAACTGCATAACGTTTACAAGACTGATGAATGCAGAATGTATCCTTTACTGATTACTATGTAAAAAGCATAAGACCATGTTAAATGTTTAGATTAGTTTCTGAGGTAGCATGTAAGTCAAGATCATGTGTTTCTCTTTCTTATCAGCTGTTGTAGTCAACACCATGATGACTAAGATCCTCTTTTCCAAGGCTCAAAGTCTTATCTATACCGTCACAGAGGTGTGATGTATGGTGCATTGCGTTTGCTTCTGAGTTTTTGCATGTGAGTAAATGGTGCAGATATTGCCCATGCTGTCCCAGACTACGTGTTTTATGGGAACCAGTGATTCAGAATCACAGACGTCAGAAGATTCAGACTTCATATGGTTCTCAAGCAATAACCAAGAGCATTTTCAGAGGAACAGATACTTCTTATTTCTCTAAAGCATATTTCTGTTCTCTATTGCTTGCACACTATGCATTTCTCATTTTCCCAGTATGACGTAATGCCCTGAAAAGACATCCAAACCTTTTATTTTCTGCACCCCCCTCAGTCACTATGGTGTCCCATAAGGAGTTTGAGACTGCAGGGAAAGCTCCTGGTCTGCAGATATGGCGCATTGAGAACATGGACCTGAAGCCAGTGCCTAAGAATCTCTATGGCAACTTCTATACGGGTGATGCCTACCTTCTGCTGTACACCACCACTGCACCCTCATATTATATACACATGTGGATGGGTAAGTGACACACCTAGTGGTCTGAATAGAATAGAAGCATTTTACCTATGGCTGTACAATAATATGAATATATCTTTTCACACATGGTGAACCACATATGTTTTACATTTGCTTTATTTAGATGAGGAAGGATGTGGCCTGTCTGTTTTTTTCAGTTTCATGTCATTTTATTTTTAATGCTGCTCTTCCCATAAGAGAGTGCTGGGTTGCTTTATTTAGCTCTTGAGAAATGTATGTTGTGAAATGGGCCTTTACAAAAAAATGCTCTTTATATTTTCTGTCAGTGACATCTGCCATAAACTTAAAAGGAAATGCATTTAAAACTTTACTGAGGTGCTCTATACAACAGTTCTTCACCATTTCACCACCGGTTCAAGTTGGTCAACTGAATTGACCTGAATTGCTTGGTAGTGTACATCACTGCACCATTGATGATAGACATTAGACCTTTTTTCCACAAAATTTCTTTAGAAATTTACTGGTACATGTACACCAATGACTGTCTTTATTAATAGGTCATTGAATCACTCATTCAACTGATTCATTCAAAAACATTGATTCATTCAGGAACAAAACAAGTGACTTGCTGCGTTGCAAATCACATACTCTCTGAGTTACGTACTACTTTTGAGCCGTTAAAAAGTATGTTCTATACAGTATGAGTTTGTGTAGTAATCCAGACATACTACATTCAATATGTTGTCATTGTCATGTGACCTACCAGCGTCAGTTGTGTCACATTACTGATATTCACAAATCCTCTGCTGTGGCCTCATTATGGTATAGTAAAGTGTCCATCAGATGCACACTTCAGAATCTTGCTGGAAATAGTAGGTCATCCGGAGACTTTTTGCTTACTTTTTTGTGAATACTGTAAATACTTCTCATGAGCTTTCTCACCACCATTATTATTTCAATTCTGAAAGTGCACCTATTTTGTGCTAATTACTTATGACACTCCCTCCTACCCTTAAGGAAAAGTTCATTTGATCTAGTACAGATGGCATACCTCAGAAGGGTAGTCACTTAAAGGGTATTTAGTCAGCTCCACAGACTACAGCGTGCCTTCACTTGTTTGTGTGGCAGTGCATCAACCGTTGGCTTTCAGCCCACTAAGGTTTATGTGGTCTCCTGTTTAATTCTAGTGACTGATCAGTGAGATGTTGTTTTTGTTCCACCCAGTGGTTTAAACTTACTCGTTTTGCTCGCAGACATGCCCCAAACCATAGTAGTTCTAAGACATTTGAATGGAGCTTTAGTGTGAGAAGAAAAGGTTTATTTGAGGACACAGAGTGGAAAATCTCATAATGTGCTTCACGTGGCCTCTTTGGGCTTTATATTTGGTTCTTATTTTGCTAAAGACAGATCCACTGCTAGTGCTGCTTGGCAAGTGAGGTCAGTTTGAGTGTTCCTGTAAGTTGTAGGACATTGTTTTTCACTAACAGAAGCATCTACCCTGAAACATGTTTTACTGTCTTTTGTATGCTGCTTTTGTGTAAAATGCGATACATTTTTGAGAAATGTATCAATTTAATGACTCAGTAAAAGTAAAAAAAATATGTATATATAATTTTCCTTACTCATTGAGTACATGAGAGTCTACACATCATTATTGTTTAAAAATATAAATATGTTTCTAGGGGAGCTGCACCTAAACCAATATTGACTTGTCAAAAAGGAGCCAAATCATTTGATATTGCAAGAGACTTATTGACCTTACTGACATAACAGGGTTGTTTTTGTTAACTATAACTATTAAACAAATTATTTTACTAAAATAAAATTAAATAAAATAGAATATAAATGTTATATAAAAACCTTAAAAGGAAACAAATGTATTCATTTCAATTCAATGAATTTATTTTAATTAAAGCTAAATATAAAAAAACAAAAGCACAACAAAATTACTAAAACTAAAATGTAATAAAAATAAAAATGATCTAATTTAAAATATAAATAAAAATAATATATAAATAATACTAAAATAGCACTGTGACACATGAGGATCTTCAGGGGTCCTCTCTATGGTATCAGATATTGGCAGACAAAAGTTTTAAATATTTAATAAGCAGTGAATCAGTTGTGTTAAAATACTTAATTTTTATTATATTATTATTATATATATTATTATTTTATTAGTATTAAATATTATATTACAAACTACTTAATGTTTTCTTTTTAAGTATTTCATTTTTGAATGAGTTTTTTATTCATCATATATTCATCAAAAAATATCCAAATAGATTTTAATACAGACAAAACATGCTCATCATTTAACACATCAACAGATGTGTGAATTGCATTTTTTTTTAAATATATATTAAAAAGATAGCACAAACATCCCTTTTACTGTGATCATTTCCCCCTCCTCCAGGGAATGTGTGTTCTCAAGATGAAAGTGGAGCTGCTGCTATCTTCTCCACACAGCTGGATGACTTTCTCGGGGGTGGTCCGGTTCAGTTCCGTGAGGTCCAAAACAATGAGTCGCTCACCTTCCTGGGCTACTTCAAGTCTGGCATCAAGTATAAGGTCAACTCTCCTTTGCTTTTTCATGAAAATTACCCTTCTTAGAAGCAGAGTTTATCATTAACTTAAGCAGTGAGATTGCAAAAGTAGTCTTCCTGCTGGGTTTACTTTGTAGAAGCATCAGAGTAGAATCAATTATGGCTCTAAAACATCCATTACTGTTTAGTCATGCCACATTCTTTCCATTATATTCAGC